CATCTACTGTTTGTATCCGTCCCCTGATAAATAGGAAGTAATAAGTTCCAATGCACCATCCCTAATACCATAGTGATGTAGTTTCCTCACCAATGTTTCATGTTCAACACAGTCAAATGCTTTGGATAAGTCACAGAAAATTCCAAGACAATCATGCGATTCCTCCCAAGATTGAAATATATTTTTGATTAGATAAGCACCTGCATCAGTTGTAGAGCGACCCCTTGTAAACCCGAATTGTTTATTATGAAGCAGGTTATTTGAATTAAAATGTTCTAAAAGTTGTGTCAAAATAATTTTTTCAAAGATTTTACTCAACGTAGGGAGTACTGAAATAGGTCTATAGTTAGAGGGGTCATCAGTACTACCAGATTTAAAAAGAGGAATCACTTTACTATGTTTCATTAAGTCAGGAAATACACCACACCTAATACAATCATTAAAAATACTAACAAGATGAGGAAGCAATAATGTCTATTACAGACTTCAAAACCTTTACTGATATTCCCCACAAGTCAGCTGTATTTTTTACATTAAGGCTATTAAAAGTTTTTATTGGAGTTTACTCCTTTAGAATCGATTTACATATATAGGCCCGGGGTATGAAAATTATGGGGACCAAAATCGTACTAGCATGTCACACGAAATGCGTTATGCGCATTTCGTGTGACATGCTAGTACATGCGCCGGCAGTCCGCCACAAAGCCTCGTACTGATCGCGCGTTTCTCTCATTATTGTATTTTCATATATTTGTTAGTCGTTTGTTTTGTGTCTCGTTAATTTGTTAATAATCTGTAGTGTATCGTGTTGTCGTAATATAGAACTATTTCTCGTATTGTTATCGTTTAATTTATTTATACCAGAGTAAACTCCAGTCGTGCTCGGAGCGGACACACACACTTTATATTGTTTGAATTAATTTTCTTAAATTTAAAAATTTCATTGCATTTCTTGACATGGTTATGCAATAATATTTCAGCTGCTGTGGGGGATGAATTTAGAGATGTGGTAGTTGAAACTGGAATGTCAGAGAAAAACTTTTCAAAAGCATTAGCCACATCTTCATGACTAGTTACCAATTTATCGTCTATTTTTAACGAGAATTCTTGATGGCTATTTCTGACTTTTCCACTTTCTCTACCAATGATGTTCCAAGTCATCTTTATCTTGTCAGGGGCATTTTTGATTAAATCACTTAAATGTAAAGATTTTGCCGCTAAACAAACTTTTCTAAATAGTTTGGAATAGTTCCTGACATATTGATGAAATGTTTCATCATTATTATAAGCTTTTTCAGAATACAGATCATACAATTTTTTTCTACTTTTGTACACTCCGGTGGTGGCCCACTCGCTGAACACCGTTTTGTTTTTTAATGTTACAGTTTTAGGAATAAATACATCAGTAAAGACCATATTAATTCTCTCAAACATATTTTGGTATGATAAATTTGGGTTTTTGTTATAAATAATTTCTGAATGTTCTTGCTTAATATTATTTCTAAACTTCTCAATTCGTTTTTTATTAATAGGAACAATCACAAGAGTATTTTTATCTTTAGAATTCATAATAGATTCAAAAGACACAAATTGTCCACTATGGTCTGATGTTAATTGATTAATAATTTTTTTGTTAATCGGTGTTACATTTGTAAATATGTTATCTAAACATGTTGCCGATGTGGTCGTTGTCCTAGTAGGCTCTAGAAATAAGTTTGGGAGGTTATATGACTTTAACAATGTTCTGAATCTAATAGTGGTATTTGTGTTTTCTAAAAGATTGATATTATAATCACCACATACAAAAATTTGTTTATTAGAGACAGTAGTCACGACTACTGAGGGAGCACTAGTAATAGTTAAGGTAGCACTTACCGGACGTATCCCAGATTGAAAAGTTTACTTTGTAATCGGCCACTGAGCATGTGTAGCTGTACTTCTCGAAGCCGGTCGGAGTGTAAGCCTGGAAGAGAACGAACAAAATTTCTATTAATCACTTAAATAAATACCATCGGATTGTTATGTACCGTATTGGATTGTAATATAGTTAATAATCCTTTGCCATATGACCGTCGATTTTTGTGTTTCGTGTCTCCAAGTTAATCTATAACAGTCTACTCTGTGACTGGCATGTAATGGCGCTTAACAGGGCCGGATAGGGCCAGTTTTGAGCGTTTTTGTTGCGTCTCTGTCAATGTCTCTGTTAATGATTGATACTGAAGAGATTGTATTGTAAGAGATTGTATTCGCTGCAAAGGGGGAAAACAGATTCAGGCTGTTTAATATAGATCTATATTTAGATTGTTTGAAGTGAAACTGTCTTTGGCGCCATTTTGATTTGAAACTTGATGAAACTAAAAAGCGACCTCAAAAGATATAGTCTGCGAGGAAATGAGATAGAAATATTTCTAAGGCGTGTGAGCGTGCTGTTTTTTTTAGTTTACATTGAACAAAATCCATTTTTATTCTTGATAAATTATTCTTAGCTCTTATTACAGTTTCGGGATTCGAGACTTTTTTTAGGACAATTCTTCCTCTTTTTGAATCTTTTTTCAAATTTGAAAAACCTTTATTACTTTTTCAGATATTTGCAAAAAACTAAGACCCCATTTTTTTTTAGTTAAATGTTGATAACTTTTACAATTTTTGCAACTTCAGAACTTCATTTTTTTTTCAAAAATCTTCTAGATGCCATTCCGAATTGAATGACACCTCATTTATAATTTTCGGAGACTGCTGAAAAAAGTTGGTCCAAATGGCACTTGTTGACTAATCTATTATAGTACAGATATTATACAGCATTCAACGTTAGATCGCATTTATAAGAGAGACTGAAAATAACATAAACTTTACAAGATGTTTCTTAGACTGGTAGATCTTAATGTCTGAATACTAGGTTTCATTTGTGATTCTATCCTTCTCGCACTTAGTGGTTCGGTGCGAAATAAGTGAGAGATGGTGGATTTTGTAATTTATTCATTTGTATTCAAGACACCCAAGGGTCCTTCAGAGGGCAGATTAATGGGCCCATAATAAATGTGGCCTGTATTCAGTGAGAATTACGATAATTGGCTTGTTCCCGACCTTTGGTAACGGTTGGATTGCAAGGAAATCGAATGTTTTGATCTTTTAAATGTCTATTCTGTCTATTTATCTGTATTTACGTACAAAATTGCACGTGTTAAATACGTTTTTTTTTCCGCGTAAATCTACATGTTGTTCATAACAATATACCTAGTCAGGTCATAAATTCTGTCACATGTTTAATGTAAAATAATTGAAACAAGTTTATTCATTATGTAACCATTCATATACCAAAATGAACTTAACAAAACATAGATTCTTATGACACTAAAGTTTATTCAAAATGACTCCGTGATTTTGAATACAGGCCTTCAATCTGCGCGGCCAGTCGTCTATCGCAGCACGAACGAGGTCCATGTCAATATCGGCGGCTGCCTTAATCAAGGATGTCTTGAGTGACTCCAAATTGGGATGAGGCTTTGAGCACGCCTTTTCCTCCAAGTGTTGCCATATCTTGTAATCTAACGGATTCAAATCTGGACTGGAGGAGGGCCAGTCTTCGTGCCGGATGAAGTCGATTTCACGCGCCGCCAGCCAGTCTTGTGTGCTCTTCGCTCTATGAGCTGGCGCCGAATCTTGTTGGAATACCCAGTGCCTGTTATTGAACATGGTATGAGAAACAGGTTCCACAAGGTTCGTCAGGACTGTATTTTGATACACAACTGCATTCGTTTTTACACCTTTCTCACAAAAATGTACCTCTGTTAAGCCCCAATAAGAAACTCCCAACCATACCATGAGCGAGGATGGAAAATGACCTCGTTGGACACGCGGAATACGGTTGCTCGCTTCTTCACTACTGTGTGCGTACACCTTATCATTTTGTTTGTTGTAGCTCTCTTCTACGGTAAAAATTTTTTCATCCGAAAAAAGAATTTCCCGATATTTTTTTCCCGCGTACCGCTTCAACAAAGCGCGGCATCTCTTCAGTCTCAGGTCCATTAGACGAGCATTCAAACGATGTCCTGTTTTTCTTCGATATGCCCGAAGCCCTAAGTCTTCATTTAACACCCTTTTCACCGTGGTTCTGCTTATCACTGCTGGAGTCCTAACAGACCGAGGGCGACCACTTCTTGACCTGTCATCTACACTAGAGTCTTCATTGTATCGTTTGATGGTACGATAAACGAATCTTTTGGTTATATTCAAATTTTTTCAGTATGTTAAAAATTTTAATTGGCGCGTAACTGCAACGATGCAACGCAATAACTGCAACACGGTCTTCTTTAAGCGTCCACTCTATATTAAAAAATGAGTAAAATTCTAAAAGTATACATTTTAATTTTCATGAACAATTCGAAATTCGAATTCAATAAACTTTTTTGTGGCCAGCATTCTAAAAGAAAAGTTTTTACTGTGTGACAACACTTATGACCTGACTAGGTACATGTGTGCTTAGTGCGAGTTTTTTTTACTTCTCAATCGCGTCAACCCGAATTTGTATGGAGTTAAAACAACGCCCCTAGCGGCAAACGTAGCTTAAAGGTTGAAACATATTGTATTAAAACGCTTTTTGAAGTCGTCGTGGCCTAAAGGATGAGACGAGCGGTGCATTCGTATCGAGTGATGCCAATGTGCCGGTGTTCGAATCCCGCTAGTAGGTACAAGTTTTTCTAATGAAATACGTACTTAACAAAAGTTCACGACTGACTTCCACGGTGAAGGAATAACATCTATATATATAAAAATGAATTGTTGTTCGTTAGTATCGCTAAAACTCGAGAACGGCTGGGCCGATTTGGCTAATTTTGGTCTTGAATTATTTGTGAAAGTCCAGAGAAGGTTTAAAAGGTACATAAATATGAAAATGCTCGGAATTAAATAAAAATAACAATATCGTTTTTCCTTTGATGTGTCCCCCGTCGGACGGATTCCTTTTGTTTGTTTTAAGTTTATTTTATACAAGAGTTTAGGTATTTTATTTATCGATTGAGGCACTAAGAAGTCTGCCGGGTCAGCTAGTCGTGCATAAAAAAAAAGCAAAAATTGTTAATTACGCGTAATGAGTGATGACAGAACTTCTAGTGTGAAGGATGGGTAGGCCGCGAATCAGTAATGCGTATTGATTCGAAGGGTGAGGCAGCCCTTGTACTATTAAAAGTAAAACTTAGAACTCATGTCTCAAGGTAGATGGCAGCATTAGGGTTTCGTTGATGTCTATGGGCTCCTCCTCCTCCTCGCATCGTCTCCTCACTGCTGAGGGTCGCGATCATCATGTTTAGACAGGATTTTTTTGTGGAGGCTCCGGTGACCGTGAGCACATCAATGGCAACAATAAAAAAAAACACAAACCCGATTCTCCCAGTGTATTTTATATTGTATTTTTCCTTTTCACAACCACTGACCTGACTGTACAAGCTCTCAACAGAGCAGGTCGTTACCCGAGAATATATGGTGCGTTTGTAATACTTACCGCACTCCTATACGATTGTTGGAAGAAAACCGAAGGCGGAATTTACAGAAATATACGTTTAGTTCTGCCAACGCTAGAATACGCCGTGAAGTTGAAACGGCAGTCAATTTTATTATTGTATTAAAGCTTAATACAACTAACTGTAGTCATAAGTTCTCTCACAGAATCCGTTCGTTAAATAAATCGTACGACTTTTGATATTAGTTTTTAATGTGTTTAATAAAAACAAATTTAAATTCAATTTAATAAGGTCGTAAATCTTTAAATTTATTAAATTATTAAATGTACATGTACAGTACAGTACAGTGCAGGGCAGTGCAGTACAGTACAGTATAGTACAGTGCAGTGCAGTACAGTATAGTATAGTACAGTACAGTACAGTACAGGCAGTACAGTACATTACATTACATGTTACAGTACAGTACAGCACAGCACAGCACACTACAGTACAGTACAGTACAGTAATGTTACAATATGCACAACGTTAATGTCCAAACCAATAATATAATTGCTTTAAAAAGGCATACTGTCTCTTCATATGCATGTAGAATTGATATCGTGACCCATAAAATAAAACTATTCCACTGTTGCACTTTTACTCTTCTTTTCCAAAATCTTTTTTATTATAATAATTAAAAATCAATTGACACCTTTTACACCTTGCTCATTTTTCGTCTTGGCCATCTTTCTTTCTCTACATACGTACATGTATTTCTCTACTACGCTATAATATAATAGCATCTAGTATATAGCTCATAGCACAACACTATCGCGCACCATACATTGTTTAGACACGTTCACACTGCACTGTACTATATATTATTGGCTAATTATACGCTGATATACTATATGGCACTATAGTATAGCGTAGTCTGAAAGCAGCTTTACCGTTATATCTCATTCACATCTTAACGCTTCGTTCCACACTTTATTCATACGTTCCGTTCTTACCAATCCTACATGTGTTCCATTCCCTTCCATCTCTTGCCTTTCACATCCAGTCCCTACCAGCTATTTTGATCAGGTCGTCATTTAAACTCATCGGTTGCTTGGTTGGAGTCTCTCAAGACTCCAAATAAATTAGGTTTTATTACAGAATTCGTCTCCTAATGTTGCCATATTTTGTATGTTCCACGGCAAATAAGAACTACAAACTGCGATTAATCTCCACCTTTTCCTTGACCTCTTTTTTTTAAGGGCTTTTATGACCTGGCAACTAAGTAAGACCTCTAGGTCAAGTCTTATTTTAATTTGAATGAAACCTTTTTTATATGAAAAATGATATTATGAAATGAAAAGAAATGAAATGAGATAAGTGATATGTGATGAAATATAACCTCAGTAAAATGGTGGTTATTTACTGAAATTTTTTTAGTGGACTTTTTGGAGGATCCCGAGAAGTTACGTCCAGAGGCTTTGTTTCATTTTCCCACATTTGTGCGCTTTCACAGTTATTAAACTGTTAA